AAAGAATCTCCATGGCTGGCCGTATTGTATGGGCTCATCACATATACAGATGATAGTTACAAGATGGAAAAATGAAGAGCAAAAAGTGACAAAATTTAGTCCAACAGAGTCCCCCCACACTGGACCGGAACGAGAGTCTCAAAAATTGATTGATACACGGATGTCCCTTTAATGGCAGCCAGGCTTAAAGTGTTACTAAACCCCCCACAGTACAAATCAGTCTGTAGATGCAATAAAACATGCTTGTTATACTCACTGTGGAACCTAAGGAGTTAATCCTCCACATTGTGTAAAAAGGCTGTTTGATCCTGTCTTCTCTGATCCTCCCCTTCTTCTATGTCCCCAATCCATCTGCTGATAGAACAGAGCCTTGGGGGCAAGCTGCACATGTTCAGTTTTGGTGTGTATTGCTTTTTTTTTTTTTTCTTGGGAGAGTGGCATGTGTGATCAGCACAGGGCCAATCAGCCCTGTCCATACAGAGGGTCAGAGGTCCTGCAGCCTCATAGGACAATCAGGGGAGAATGAAAACTCTTTCCTACAAGCTTTAACCAGTGCTCTGCTGGACACTGATAGAAGTCACAAGACTGCTATATATACTGCTGATGAGAAAAGATATTTAGCAGTTTATATTTACTAAAATAATTGCATTTCCACAGTCTGCGATTCCGAGCCACTGCCCCGCCCCCTGCCTGCTCCCTGAATTATTAATGAACATCAGCCCAGCCTGGGATCTCTCCATTCTGCAAGCAGCTTCCCCATTCCCAACCACCAGCTCGTTGCACAGTAGGTACTCCCACTGAGGATAGCCTGATTTCAACTTTCAGCTGGGCTGCAGGCAGCAGCTGCATAAGGACAGGTATGAGAAGTGCCGGGACAAACGACATCTAGAGCCCAGCCGTGGTGCCACATATTTGCAATTGATCGGTTCTCCAAGATGTAGAAAAAAAGTAATGACATTGTGTGTCAGCACAAATCCCCCCAATCAGTAATTGATGAATGTCAACTATCACAAAAGTCCCCCCCCAACAATCATCCCTACTATGACACAAATCCCCCCCCCCCCAATCATCCCTACTATCACAAATTCCCCCCCAATCATCCACCCCCCCCCAATCATCCCTACCTATTATCAAATCCCCCCCAATCCCCCCCAATCATCCCTACTAGAGAACACAGATTCCCCCAATCATCCCTACTATCACAAATCCCCCCCCCCAATCATCCCTACTATCACAAATCCCCCCCCCAATATCCCTACTTGCTACTGATCACAACAGTTATCACAAATCCCCCCCCCACCCCAAGTCATCCCTACTATTATCCAACAAATCCCCCCCCAATCATCCCTACTAGCACAGACTTTTTCCCCCCCAATCATGACCCTACTATCACAAAATTCAATCATCCCCCCAGATGCCACCCAATCATCCCTACTATCACAAATAATCCCCCCCAAATCATCCCTACTTATTACACATCCGCCCCCCCCCCAATCATCCCTACTATCACAAATCCCCCCCAATCATCCCTACTAGCAAGGTCAAATCCCCCCTTGATCATCCCTACTATCACAAATCCCCCCCCCAATCATCCCTACTATTACAAATTCCCCCCCCCCCCCCCCAATTCATCCTCTACAAGCACAACATCCTCCCAATCATTCCCTACTACACAAATGCCCCCCCCCCAATCATCTATCTACTACACAAATCCCCCCTTCCCTACTATCACAAATCCCCCCCCAATCATCCCTACTAGCACAGATCCCGCCAATCATCCCTACTAGATCACAAATCCCCCCCCCCAATCACTCTACTATTACAAATCCCCCCCAATCATACCCTACTATACAAATCCCCCCCCCAATCATCTTACTAGCACAAAATCCTCCCAATCATCCTACTACACAAACCCCCCCCCCCCCCAAATCATCTCTACTACACAAATCCCCCCAATCATCTCTACTATCTTTAACAAATACCCCCCACACCCCCAATCAATCCCTACTATCACAAATCCCCCCAATCATCCCTACTAGCAAAAATCCCCCCCCCCACCAATTTTTTAGCACAGCCCCCCAAAATCCCCCAATAGCACAAATATATCCTCTCACCACTCCCCCCCCAAATCACCACTCCTAGCACACCTCCCCAAATTTTCACCTCACATGACACCACAAGAATCCCCCTCCTGTCCACCCCCTGTCCCTCGCCCTGGGTATGGCCTGGGTGGTCTCATGTGTGATAGAAGTCGTGTGAAGAAGAGAGAAGACCCCCCTGTAATGCAGGTTATTATTATGTATGATTGTAGAATCGGACATCCGCGTGATGGACCGCCTCTATGGCCTGTCTGTTTGGTTTTGGTGCTCCATGTTCCCGGACTGTATTGTACAGACACTTCCTGCTAGGATATGAAGTCAGGGCTTCATGGGGTGTGCAGTGTTGGACCCCGCCCCGGTAGCGCTGAGAATTATAGACCGGCTGTAGATAAAGTCGCCTGCTAATATATAAATCGAAGGTCATCCACGCCAGCCACAGGACACGCCAGGCCACAGGACACGCCGGCCACAGGACACGCCGGTCACAGGACACGCCGGCCATTGCCCCCAGTATTGTCCCCCCCCCCTGTTTATACACTACCCCCCGTATATACACTACATTGCCCCCAGTATTGTCCCCCCCCCCGTATATACACTACATTGCCCCAGTATTGTCCCCCACCCTGTATATACACTATATTGCCCCCAGTATTGTCCCCGCCCCCCCCGTATATACACTACATTGCCCCCAGTATTGTGTCCCCCGCCCCCCGTATATACACTACATTGCCCCGGCCCCCCCCCTGTATATACACTACATTGCCCCCCAGTATTGTCCCCCCCCCCCCTGTATATACACTACATTGCCCCCAGTATTGTCCCCCCCCCCCCGTATATACACTACATTGCCCCGCAGTATTGTCCCCCCCCCCCTGTATATACACTACATTGCCCCCAGTATTGTCCCCCACCCTGTATATACACAATATTGCCCCCAGTATTGTCCCCGCCCCCCCCGTATATACACTACATTGCCCCCAGTATTGTCCCCCCCCCCCGTATATACACTACATTGCCCCGGCCCCCCCCCCTGTATATACACTACATTGCCCCCAGTATTGTCCCCCCCCCCCCCTGTATATACACTACATTGCCCCCAGTATTGTCCCCCACCCTGTATATATACTATATTGCCCCCAGTATTGTCCCCGCCCCCCGTATATACACTACATTGCCCCCAGTATTGTCCCCCCGCCCCCCCCCCCCCTGTATATACACTATATTGCCCCCAGTATTGTCCCCGCCCCCCCCGTATATACACTACATTGCCCCCAGTATTGTCCCCGTCCCCCGTATAACACTATATTGCCCCAGTATTGTCCCCGCCCCCCTGTATATACACTATATTGCCCCCAGTATTGTCCCCGCCCCCCCCCCCCTGTATATACACTATATTGCCCCAAGTATTGTCCCCACCCCCCCCTTTATATACACTACATTGCCCCCAGTATTGTCCCCCCCCCCCCCTGTATATACACTACATTGCCCCAAGTATTGTCCCCGCCCCCCTGTATATACACTACATTGCCCCAAGTATTGTCCCCCCCCCCTGCCGTATATACACTATATTGCCCTAAGTATTGGGCCGCTGGCCTTTCCACACACATGACATTTAATGCCCCCCCAGTCTTAGTCCGTAGGGTTCAATATTGAGTTGGCCCCGCCCTTTCCACACACATGACATTTAATGCCCCCCAGTCTTAGTCCGTAGGGTTCAATATTGAGTTGGCCCCGCCCTTTCCACGCACATGACCTTTAATGCCCCCCCAGTCTTAGTCCGTAGGGTTCAATATTAAGTTGGCCCCGCCCTTTCCACGCACATGACCTTTAATGCCCCCCCAGTCTTAGTCCGTAGGATTCAATATTGAGTTGGCCCCGCCCTTTCACACACACATGACCTTTAATGCCCCCCAGTCTTAGTCCGTAGGGTTCAATATTGAGTTGGCCCCGCCCTTTCCCACGCACATGACCTTTAATGCCCCCCCCCAGTCTTAGTCCGTAGGGTTCAATATTAAGTTGGCCGCCCGCCCTTTCCACGCACATGACCTTTAATGCCCCCCCAGTCTTAGTCCGTAGGATTCAATATTGAGTTGGCCCCGCCCTTTCCACACACATGACCTTTAATGCCCCCCCAGTCTTAGTCCGTAGGGTTCAATATTGAGTTGCCCCGCCCTTTCCACGCACATGACCTTTAATGGCCCCCCAGTCTTAGTCCATAGGGTTCAATATTGAGTTGGCCCCGCCCTTTCCCCGCACATGACCTTTAATGCCCCCTCTCAGTCTTAGTCTGTAGGGTTCAATATTGTGTTGGCCCCGCCCTTTCCACACACATGACCTTTAATGGCCCCCCAGTCTTAGTCCGTAGGGTTCAATATTGAGTTGGCCCCGCCCTTTCCACACACATGACCTTTAATGGCCCCCCAGTCTTAGTCCGTAGGGTTCAATATTATGTTGGCCCCGCCCTTTGCATCTATAACAGCTTCAACTCTTCTGGGAAGGCCCCCACAAGGTTTAGGAGGGTGTCTATGGGAAGGTTGGACCATTCTTCCAGAAGCACATTTGTCAGGTCAGGCACTGATGTCGGGGGAGGAGGCCTGGCTCGCAGTCTCCGCTCTAATTCATCCCAAAGGTGTTCTATGGGGTTGAGGTCAGGACTCTGTGCAGGACAGTCAAGTTCCTCCACCCCAAACTGGCTCCTCCATGTCTTTATGGACCTTGCTTTGTGCACTGGTGGGCAGTCATGTTGGAACAGGAAGGGGCCATCCCCAAACTCCTCCCCCAAAGTTGGGGGCATGAAATTGTCCAAAATGTCATCTTAAGAGTTCCCTTCACTGGAACTAGGGGGCCAAGTCCAACCCCTGAAAAACAACCCCACACCATAATCCCCCTCCACCTCCACCAAACTTGGTACAATGCAGTCAAGCAAGTACCGTTCTCCTGGAAACTGCCAACCCGGACACGTCCATCAGATTGCCAGACAGAGAAGTGTGATTGGTCACTCCAGAGAACATGTCTCCCCTGCTCTAGAGTCCAGTGGCGGCGTGCTTTACACCACGGCATCCGACGCTTTGCATTGCACTTGGAGATGGAAGGCTTGGACGCAGCTGCTCGGCCATGGAAACCCATTCCATGAAGCTCTCTACGCACTGTTGTTGGGCTCATCTGAAGGCCACACCAAGTTTGGAGGTCTTTAGCTATTGACTCTGCAGACAGTTGGCGACTTCTGCGCACTGTGCGCTTCAGCATGCGCTGACCCCGCCCTGTCATGTGACGTGGCCTACCACTTGGTGGCTGAGTGGCTGTTGTTCCCAGTGGCTTCCACTTTGTTATAATCCCACTAACAGTTGAGCGTGGAATATTTAGTAGCCAGGAAAATATCACAGATGGACTTATTGCCCAGGTGGCCACCTATCACGGGACCACGCTTGGAGTCACTGAGCTCCTGAGAGCGACCCATTCTTTCACCAATGTTTGTAGAAGCAGTTTGCATGCCTAGGGGCGTGATTGTATACACCTGTGTCCATGGAGGGGATTGGAACACCTGAATCACATGATATGGAGGGGATTGGAACACCTGAATCACATGATATGGAGGGGATTGGAACACCTGAATCACATGATATGGAGGGGATTGAAACACCTGAATCACGTGATATGGAGGGGATTGGAACACCTAAATCACATGATTGGGAGGGGATTGAAACACCTGAATCACATGATATGGAGGGGATTGGAACATCTGAATCACATGATATGGAGGGGATTGGAACACCTGAATCACATGATATGGAGGGGATTGAAACACCTGAATCACGTGATATGGAGGGGATTGGAACACCTGAATCACATGATTGGGAGGGGATTGAAACACCTGAATCACATGATATGGAGGGGATTGGAACATCTGAATCACATGATATGGAGGGGATTGGAACACCTGAATCACATGATATGGAGGGGATTGGAACCTCTGAATCACATGATATGGAGGGGATTGGAACACCTGAATCACATGATATGGAGGGGATTGGAACACCTGAATCACATGATTGGCAATTTAGTGTATCTGCAGTGTACATTACATAAGAAGAATAGGGGAGGATGTGCCACTGAAAATGCTGGGTGACTGTTTGTGCCTGGCTTCAATACAGGGTCGGACTGACAACTCATGGGGCCCCCAGGCAATAGGAAATCATGGGGCCCCTGTGTCCTCGCCAACTCTCAAACCACACCCAAAAAAATCCTATGAAAGGTATCAGAGGCATCTCATGGGGCCCCCTACTGACCCTCGGCCCTCGGGCAGTGCCCAAGTGCCCGACTGGTCAGCTCACCCCTGCTTCAATAACAACAAATGTGCGGCAACAGTCTGAAATCCTTAAAGCTTTAAAAAAAACCAAAAATGTCAGATTTTGCAGCTTAAAAGTAATTAGATGTGGTGGCTGCATTAGTTTTCTTGTTTTAGGCTTTTTGCACTCTGTTTTCACCTGGTGACCAGTAACACACCCCCTGTATTAGAGTGCCCCCATTCTGGATGAAGGAGCACAGGGGGCACCTTTGGACAGCAGCATTGTCAGTCTGGAGGGAGGGGAGTGTTAGATGTACTAGCAGATTTAGATACACTAACACATTGAAGCCAAGCTCCAGCTCACACTTTATAATCAGTTATAATGTTGGGCTTGATGTTCGCATTGAACATAAGTTCGACTTGAACATCGGCCGTTTGTGTGTTCAACACAGGAACACACAAATAGAAGGGCGTTCAGGCCATGAACCGAACAGGGGGGTATGCGGCCCATCGCTAATCATTTACAGCGAACAGTTTTTATTTCTTTTTGGGATAATGGTTTTATGTAGATAAATAAAAGCTGAACACTGCAAGCACCCCTGTCAGTAGTAACTTAGCACTCTAACTGCCACATCTGTAGGACAGCTTGTTCATTTGAAAAACAACAGACTTACTGACCAGATGACCAGGTGATAATAAAGGAAATAAAGCCTGAAAAGTAAAAATAAAGCAGCCCTGACCCCCTCCCCCCCCCAAGCTGTGATTGAACAGTGACAGGAGAGGAAGCAAATTGAAGAGCTCATCTCTCTATCACTTTGCTCTCTCCTCCAGTCAGGGTGCTTCTTGTTAGCTGGCTGCCTTCTTTTTCCTCACTCAGTCTGAGCTCTGCTGTACAGGTGATGGCACGAGGTGAGACCAGTCCAGGCACTTACACGGCACACACTAGATAAAAGAATGACGTGTGAACGATTACAGCGCTGCGGTCATTGAGTCCCTTATATCTTGGCGGAGTCCACCTGCGTGGTTGAGCGGAGGTGCCGTGGGGATTGGGGCTGCGTCTCGGGGGAAGGGATGACGTCTTCTGAATGTTATAAGTAGCTGGCAGGCAGTGAATCGATCGGTTTCCAGCCATTGCAGAGCGATCTGTTGTAGCTGGATGTCTCCCTCACTATAATCGCCCCCCATATCTGATCTTCTCCCCCATGTCTGATCTTCTCCCCCCATGTCTGATCTTCTCCCCCATGTCTGATCTTCTCCCCCATGGGCGGTATACTGGAGGCTGAAAATGATTTCTTTACAGACAATTACCCGGACCTGGTACAAATCGCCAATAAAAGCAATCTGAATAAAGCGTCCGCGCTCGCTTCGTGTTCAATTATAACACACAAAAGGTGATCATTACGTCTCATTATGAATAGTAATTGTGCCAAACGCTGAACTGAAAGGTCCTAATTATTCTAATAATTATATTAATGGCAAAAACATTCATTCAGCGAAGACAGAAACTGTACCGCCATTCAGGACACACATTGTATACGATGGATATCCTATGTGTATCCAATGTGTATCCTATGTGTATCCAATGTCTGTCCTATGTGTATCTAATGTGTATCCAGTGTGTATCCAATGTGTATCCAGTGTGTATCCAATGTCTGTCCTATGTGTATCTAATGTGTATCCAGTGTGTATCCCATATCTATCCAATGTATCCAGTGTGTATCTAATGTGTATCCCATATCTATCCAATGTATCCAGTGTGTATCTAATGTGTATCCCATATCTATCCAATGTATCCAGTGTGTATCTAATGTGTATCCCATATCTATCCAATGTATCCAGTGTGTATCTAATGTGTATCCCATATCTATCCAATGTATCCAGTGTGTATCTAATGTGTATCCCATATCTATCCAATGTATCCAGTGTGTATCTAATGTGTATCCCATATCTATCCAATGTATCCAGTGTGTATCTAACGTGTATCCCATATCTATCCAATGTATCCAGTGTGTATCTAATGTGTATCCCATATCTATCCAATGTATCCAGTGTGTATCTAATGTGTATCCTATATCTATCCAATGTATCCAGTGTGTATCTAATGTGTATCCTATATCTATCCAATGTATCCAGTGTGTATCTGTGTATCCCATATCTATCCAATGTATCCAGTGTGTATCTGTGTATCCCATATCTATCCAATGTATCCAGTGTGTATCTAATGTGTATCCCATATCTATCCAATGTATCCAGTGTGTATCTAATGTGTATCCCTTATCTATCCAATGTATCCAGTGTGTATCTAATGTGTATCCATATCTATCCAATGTGTCGAGTGTGTATCCCACCATCTATCCAATGTATTCAGTGTGTATCTAATGTGTATCCAGTGTGTATCCCTTATCTATCCAATGTATCCAGTGTGTATCTAATGTGTATCCCATATCTATCCAATGTATCCAGTGCGTATCTAATGTGTATCCCATATCTATCCAATGTTTCCAGTGTGTATCCAATGTGTATCCCATATCTATCCAATGTATCCAGTGTGTATCTAACGTGTATCCCATATCTATCCAATGTATCCAGTGTGTATCTAATGTGTATCCCATATCTATCCAATGTATCTAGTGTGTATCTGTGTATCCCATATCTATCAAATGTATCCAGTGTGTATCTAATGTGTATCCCATATCTATCCAATGTATCCAGTGTGTATCTGTGTATCCCATATCTATCCAATGTATCCAGTGTGTATCTAATGTGTATCCAGTGTGTATCCTATATCTATCCAATGTATCCAGTGTGTATCTAATGTGTATCCCTTATCTATCCAATGTATCCAGTGTGTATCTGTGTATCCCTTATCTATCCAATGTATCCAGTGTGTATCTAATGTGTATCCCATATCTATCCAATGTATCCAGTGTGTATCTGTGTATCCCTTATCTATCCAATGTATCCAGTGTGTATCTAATGTGTATCCCATATCTATCCAATGTATCCAGTGTGTATCTAATGTGTATCCCTTATCTATCCAATGTATCCCGTGTGTATCTAATGTGTATCCCATATCTATCCAATGTGTCGAGTGTGTATCCCACATCTATCCAATGTATTCAGTGTGTATCTAATGTGTATCCAGTGTGTATCCCTTATCTATCCAATGTGTCCAGTGTGTATCCAATGTGTATCCAATGTGTATCCAGTGTGTATCCCTTATCTATCCAATGTATCCAGTGTGTATATAATGTGTATCCCATATCTATCCAATGTATCCAGTGTGTATCTAATGTGTATCCCATATCTATCCAATGTTTCCAGTGTGTATCTAATGTGTATCCCATATCTATCCAATGTATCCAGTGTGTATCTAATGTGTATCCCATATCTATCCAATGTATCCAGTGTGTATCTAATGTGTATCCCATATCTATCCAATGTTTCCAGTGTGTATCTAATGTGTATCCCATATCTATCCAATGTATCCAGTGTGTATCTAATGTGTATCCAGTGTGTATCCCATATCTATCCAATGTATCCAGTGTGTATCTAATGTGTATCCCATATCTATCCAATGTATCTAGTGTGTATCTAATGTGTATCCTATATCTATCCAATGTATCCAGTGTGTATCTGTGTATCCCATATCTATCCAATGTATCCAGTGTGTATCTAATGTGTATCCCATATCTATCTAATGTATCCAGTGTGTATCTAATGTGTATCCCTTATCTATCCAATGTATCCAGTGTGTATCTAATGTGTATCCCATATCTATCCAATGTGTCGAGTGTGTATCCCACATCTATCCAATGTATTCAGTGTGTATCTAATGTGTATCCAGTGTGTATCCCTTATCTATCCAATGTGTCCAGTGTGTATCCAATGTGTATCCAATGTGTATCCAGTGTGTATCCCTTATCTATCCAATGTATCCAGTGTGTATCCCACATCCATCTAATGTATTCAGTGTGTATCTAATGTGTATCCAGTGTGTATCCACCATCTATCCAATGTATCCAATGTGTATCTAATGTGTATTCAGTGTGTATCCCATTTCTATACAATGTATCCAGTGTGTATATAATGTGTATCCAGTGTGTATCCCATTTCTATACAATGTATCCAGTGTGTATCTAATGTGTATCCAGTGTGTATCCCATTTCTATCCAATGTATCCAGTGTGTATCTAATGTGTATCCAGTGTGTATCTAATGTGTATCCAGTGTGTATCCAGTGTGTATCCCATGTATATCTCATGTATCCAGCATGTATCCTTTGTGCATCCCATGTGTATCTCTTGTGTATTCAGGATGGTTAGTAATTGTTACAATAACTATGTCATCTATGTCCATCTATGCCTTTGCTGCTATTACTTCTTCTTCTTACCCAATTCTCCTGACATTTATTTTGCTCAGTTGCCTTTTCTGACACTTTTTGTTTACATGTAAAGAACTTTGTAAAAAAACACTTAGAATCCCCAAACATTATATTATAATACACATAAACACAATACAATACTCAATTGTTTAGTAAAATATAAAAGATGCTGCTATGCCAAGCAAATAGATACCAAACATGTTACGCTTTAAAATTGCGCATGCCCATTCAACGGTGACAATGGAAATTTCATTGTCCATAGCCAACGCTTTCTGGTGCTAGAATTACTGCCCATGATCTTATGTTCGTTGTGATACCTCACATGTGTGGAACGATCGATGCAGGGATCATCCCAGGATAACCACTGAAAGCCCAGCAACATACGGGTACGTCTCCGGTCTGTAAGATTCCTTCTTTTCACTTTTCCGTATTTTGCTGCATCTCAA